TTTGTTCAATTAAATTAAATCAGAAATTAAAAAAAAATCAGTTGAAATAATTTAATAAATAATTAAAAAAAAATATGTTGCATGTTGCATAAAAGGCATCCTCGAAGGAGAATAGAAGGAGAATAGAAGACAAACGCGCGTCGGAGCTTTCGGCCACGTCGGAGCTGCGTCGGACCTGGAGGCGCGTCGGAGTCCGAGGTGCGTCGGAGCTGGAGGCGCGTCGGCGATGGAGGTGCGTCGGAGCCGGAGTTCGTCGGAGCTGCACGTTGCACGCACGATAGCCAGAGAAGAAGAAAGGGAGAGACGAAAGGAGGGGTTTGGTTTGGATGAGTCTGAAATCGCGAGAGGGAAAGGGAGGATTAGGGCAAAAAAACCCCATTGAAAAGACCGACTTACCCTTAATGAAGGGTAAGTCTGAAATCGCGCCGCGATTCCGCGATTTGGGCCGCTCCGCTCTGCCTCTGACGCGGCCGCTCCAACCGCTACACAAATCTGCTCCGCTCTAGCAGCCAGATTGCGGGGTGAGGCTGCTTCGCTCCGGAGAGCCGCGATAGCGGCCGCTATTGACTACTATGGCACTAACAATCTCTCTAATAAGCACAGAAGCTTTATTGCTGCCATTGATGCCACATAAATTCCTACCTCAATCCAGGAGGCCATGAAACTTGAACATTGGACTCAAGCCATGAAAGAAGAGATGAATGCATTAGAAAGAAATTCAACTTGGGAGATTGTTGATAAGCCAAGAGACAAGAAGGCAGTAGGGTATAGATGGATATTCACAATGAAACATAAGGCAGATGGGACAATAGAAAGATATAAAGCTAGATTGGTAGAAAAAGGCTATACCCAAACTTATGGGATTGACTATGAGGAGACGTTTACCCTAGTGGCAAAGATGAATACAGTTCGAGTTGTTCTCGCTTTGGCTGCTCATTTTGGTTGGGACTTACACCAGTTGGATGTGAAGAATGCCTTTCTTCATGGAAATCTGAAAGAGAAAGTGCACATGGAGATTCCCCCAGGTTTTGAAGTGAAAAATGAAGGAAACAAGGTATGCCTCCTAAAGAAAGCATTGTATGGTCTTAAGCAATCCCCTAGAGCATGGTTTGGAAGATTTACAAAAACAATGGTTTCCTTGGGATATAGACAAAGCCAAGGAGATCATACTCTATTCATAAAGCACTCTTCTACAGGTAAACTCACTCTATTGCTTGTCTATGTGAATGATATTATTATTGCAGGAGATGATGAAACATAAAAATTGGCATTAAAAAAAAATTGGCAGCTCAATTTGAAATGAAAAACCTAGGAAAACTCAAGTATTTTCTTGGAATAGAGGTTGCTTATTCCAAGAACGGAATTTTCATCTCCCAAAGGAAATATGTACTTGATCTCCTCAAAGAAACAGGAAAGTTGGGATGTAGAACCTCAACAGTCCCTATAGAACAGAATCACAGAATTGGAAGTGAAGAAAGTGCTCCTGTAGTGAAGGCCCAATATCAGAGATTGGTAGGAAAATTGATTTATCTATCACACAGAAGACCAGACATTGCTTATGCAGTTAGTGTAGTGAGCCAATTTATGCATGATCCAAGAGAGAGACACATGCAAGCAGTTGACAAAATTCTCCAGTACTTGAAGTCAAGTCCAGGAAAGGGGCTATTGTTCAAAAGGGAAGATACATTGACTATGAAAATATATACTGATGCTGATTATGCAAGTTCTATTACTGACAGAAAATCTACTTTTGGTTATTGTATGTTTCTTGGAGATAGTCTGGTAACGTGGAGGAGCAAAAAGCAACATAGAGTATCTCGTTCTAGTGCAGAAACTGAATTCCGAGCCCTTGCTCAAGGAATGTGTGAAGGACTCTGGATGAAAATCATTTTGGATGACCTTAAAGTCAAGGTTGATAACCCCGTGCAACTATACTGTGACAATAAGTCTTCCATGAGCATTGCCCATAATCCAGTACAACATGATAGGACCAAACACATTGAGATTGACAGACATTTCATCAAAGATAATCTAGACAGAGGCTTTGTGATTACAACTCATGTTCCTACAGAACTTCAGATAACAGATATTTTTACAAAAGGGCTCCCTCAGGGTAGATTTCAAGATCTTGTAGGCAAGTTGGGAATGATTGATATTCATTTACCAACTTGAGGGGGAGTGTTGTAATTAGAGGAAAATCTTCATAATTAAATAAAATATCTGTAGAATCTTCTAGTTTATTTTTCAGAATATTTTTTTTCCTTATTTTGTTATTTTGGAAGATTAGATTGTTACAAATAGGTGTAAGGAAAATGTAATACGCATGAATGATAATAATAATAAAATCATTCTCCTTTTCAAGTCAAACACAAACCCACTCCTGCCCTATATATCACCTTTCATTTTCATTTGTTGCATTCATTGCCAGGGGTAAAAAAATTTTCAGATGAAAGGCAGGCAACGAAACCAGAGCACATAGCACAGTCTCCTAATCACTGTTTTACCAAAAGAATGAAAAAAAAAGAACCAGAAATGGATATCTAGTCATTCACACCACTTACAATCAAATACTTTACAGCTTACACCATTGTTCTCCAACTATGACTATTCAATTTTACAATAATATAGTTTAATAAAACAAGGTCAAAGGAGAAATTGTGATTTCAGTTCTGAGACAACAGATAAATTGCCATTATAAAAGAATTACCTTTTTAATAAGTTTCAGAAGATTGCTGCAGTCAATGTTACCAACCTTTTCCTTCACATTCATTGTCAATAATGCTGAGCCAACCAACAACTCATAATTAACCTTACCACTTGGAGACACAGGAAATGATTCCATAAAGATGAAACGGTTGGGAAGCATAACTGATGGTAGTTTGTTAATCATCCAACTTCTGATTGAAGGTATTAATAATTCACCCAATCTTTCCTTTTTCTTTAATATGATAAAGGCTTCAAGAAGCATAAGGTCTGCCTGATTATTTCGACAAACTACGGCAGCATCATTTATATATGGATGTTCCCTTAGCAAATCTTCAATTTCTTCCAGGGCAATACGCTGTCCATTGACTTTTATAATGCGGTCTTTTCTTCCTAAAAATACAAAGTCACCACTTGGCAACTGTTTGACTAAATCACCAGTTCTAAAGTATAATTGGCCTCTGCAAGCATTAACAGAATTGCCACAACTGTAACTTTGAGGCAACTTTGCAAATGCATCAGACATTTTATTAGTTTCATTATAATAACCCCTTGAGATGCAAGAACCACCAACATATAGCTCTCCCTCATTTGCTGCACCATTTTCACCAAGAAGTATCACATCACAGTTAGTAATGGGTAAACCTATTGGGACACTAGTTAGCATTTCATCCTTCACGATCAATGGTATCCTCTCGCAATCAAAATATGTACAGTCACCGGAGACCTTCGTTTAAAAAATGAAAAAGAAACAGAAATGCATTAGCAAATGATAATTATACAAAAGACTAGGAAAGTGCATTATGTATGACAAGCAACTGGTATAAATATGTTACATAATTTGCATTCAAAATTAAAAGTAGAGAAAAAGAAAATAAATGCATTAGGCAATGATAATGACACAAAAGGAAACAGCTAAAAAATATTTTGAAATTAACTACACAAATGAAAAAGAAAAATGTTATAACAAATTGAGTGTGCAAGAATGTCATAATAGGAACCAGACAGCAAAATACAAATTATGAGTGCTCTTGCAAAATCTCAGACTATAGAAAGATAGTCTTCTGCTCTAACCTCGGTACTTCCATATAAATTCAAGATTGATGTCTTTGGTAATATAGTTGAAAGCATCTCCCACAAGATCAAAGGAAAAGTTTCACCACTGAGCACAAGCAATTTCAATGATTTTTCAACCCGCATCCACATGTTATCATGGGTTTGCAATCCAAGAAGAATAGTCCTCATTAGTGATGGAACAGCTGTAAGCCTATTAACAAAATATGCCTACAGAAGAATTTAATATAATAGGCTAAGTAAGAATTTAGAAGTATGCTTTTATTACTAAGTACTAACTGAAGCTGTGATAGAAACAAATATAATACAGAATGCTTCTCAAACATGGGTGATATTTAAAATATAAATCAGTCTTTATGAACAATTTTTAAGTCATATCTAAACACATAGTAACATTGCAAAACAGCATTATCCAATAATATTTACCAAAAGCATAAAGGGAATTTATTTGGCAATACAGCTAAAACTTAAACCCCCATAACCTTTATCACAAATATTGAGTTAGAAGGGAATGCCAAGTTGCAGTCCTTGCTGAAAGTGCAACAATAATTCCACAAATTACCAAAGAAAAAGATAATCTTGACAATACATAAATCAGAAAAGCACTATCAAGAACTACCATACCTGCAGAAAATCTATTATAGAATATATATTTTCTTTTAGTTCGTCAAAAGGAGGAATAACTAACACACAAGCAGTCAAAATAGCACTGAGAAATTCTTGCAGGTGGTCAATGAAGCTAACTGATGACTTAAACAACAATAGTTCCTGCCCATTCAGAGGATACATTCCTTGCATCCATAAAAAGCGATTCGAAAGACCTAGCAAGAATGTGGAAGTAAACAAATTGTAGCATATTACAGTATATATAATAATATAAATTAAAAAAAATATTATGGATAAGAAACTTCTATTTAAAAAAAACAGATATTTCAGAGAGATAGTTGTTTGTTTTGGCTAACATATTAAAAACTTTCAAGAAAAGATGAACACTTGCAACAAAGTTCTTAACCCTTATCCCATTAGGTGGGATTGGCTACATGAATCTAAACCTCTGGGCTCTATTAAAAAACAAAACTTCAATAAAACTATTTAGAGCAAGGTCTTTATTAATGGTCTCTCCTAAAGTATTCTTAGATCTTCCTTTTATTCCAGTTTTCTCACTGGACCATTTAATGGTCTCTTGACTTCTTCCCACATAACCAGACCACTTTTTGTGAACTTTTGCCATCTTGTCCTTAGTAAGTGCTACTTGAACTTTCTCTTAGATATATTTGCTCCTAATGTTAAATTTTCATGCATATATAATTATATATCCACTCATTAACCTCGACATTCTTGCCTCCCGACAATAAAAAATTGATACATGCATGAGTATTGGTAATGGTACATGTATAGGTGTGCAGACACAATCAAATTTCTAAAACTAAGGTATGAATATTTGGGTATGTAAACATGTGTACCAAATAAGTAATGGTACGCAATACATACCTGTACATAGGGGGTACTCATTCATCACAAATATCCCCTCTAAACTTCATTTTTCTCTTGTTGGCACTTTACTACCACATAGCAGCATTGGTCTTATAGCTGTCCAATAGAACTTCTGAGTTTGATAGGCACTTTTGCTATGACAAATTATGGCTAAAGCGTTTCTCCATTTCATCCACCCAACTTGAACCAATGCGTGACATCTCCATCAACCTCCACATCACTCAATAAGATAGATTCAAGATACATTAAATTCTGCAATTTATTGTATGATGTGGTTCTCCATTCTCACCTTCAAAATATTGCTACTTCATGTTGAAAATGCATTCCATACACAACATATTTCTCCTACTTAACCCCAAACCAGTGGTTACAAAGCTTCACTTCATAATCAAATTTAGAATTAACTCCTTGACTCTTTATCAATCTCAAGCCATAAACTAGAACTACATCATCCAGAAGAAATACACATTCATGGAACCCTATCAAAGGCTTTTCCTATATCAATAAAGACCATTTGCAAGTCTTTTGTTTCCTTTCATACCAAACTCACAATTGGGTACATAGTCTATATGGTTGACCTCCCAGGCACAATACTGAATGGATCTACAGACAGGAGAATGTATTTAAACAAGAGGTTGTTTAATCCAAAAAGGTAGAATGATAAGTATTGAACAGCAATTAACTTCATACAAAATTTTAAAATTCCTATTATCCATTAAGGATTTCAAAATAAATAGGAATTGTATTAATACATTATGTTAAGAGTCAAAAACCATGTTATTAAAGAAAATTAGAAACATAACTGGAAGATGTGAAATATGATAAGCTTCTCCTCATGTGTATCACAGAGATAAGGAAAGTTGGGAAACAAACAAGGGTACGATGTAACATTTCGTAAAAACAAATCTTGCATTTATGTGCATTAATAGCTACAACAAACCACAATAACAAGTTACCTTGTTCAGTGCCACACACTCCTTTAGGCTTTCCAGTTGATCCAGATGTGTACATCAGATAGCAGAATGATCTTTGTTTTTCATTGGCACAAGGCCATGCTAAATCTGTTGAACCACTACATACCTGAAGGTTTTCATCGATGGAGTAATTCAAAACAGGACAACCAATTGACTTTACCAGCCAATGTGATTCATCAAGCTTGTCTGAGTTATTTTTACCAAAAGAAGATTGGGACCCTATCATGAGATCAACATTTGAAGAAGAAGCAACAGACAATATCCTTTCATTTGGCCAAAAAGGATCCAGAGGCAAGAAGGCTTCCCCACACCTCAGTACTGAAAGAACAGCAACAATATATTCAACAGAAGGAGGCATATAAATCCCCACTATCTTTGGTCTATACTCTTCACTTGATTCGGCCACCGCCTCTTCACTAGGCATGATAGTTTCCAAGGACTCAGGTGTCTGTAAAGTTCCCTCTTCATGCTTAACATCATCATTACCTGCAGCAGAATTCAGGATGCCATTGCAAAAATCAAGCACAATCGTATCCCCATTCTGATACATAAAAGATTAACAATGAACCATCGAATAATGGCTTTTCAATCATTTGTAAAAACTTCTAGAACACAGATATTTGAGAAAATGGAACATGAGTTAACCTTCTAAGTTCTAATCATGCCTTATTCACTTTTAAATACATTTCAGAATTTTCTCAATTTTGAAATTGAAAACAACTCATTCTCTCTGTTCTCACTCTCCCTCGAACTTCCTTGCACCAAACACCACCAACAAAATTGCTTCCCCACTCTGATGGATCATGTATCGCACTCAATAGAAACTCGCATGAGAAATCCATTCCCAATGTCCTTATTAACAAGCACACACCTTACGCTTCAAATTGAAAACTTAACTAATTGACTAACTACCTATCTAACTGTTGTATCCAATCCGAAAGTCTTACATTGCTTACGAATGAAGATCATGGACAATTTATAATCACCCTCCTCCTTTAATATACCAAGGCAAAATATGTCTGATGGGATAAACTTTTCCAAAAACACTTATAAAAGAAGGAAAACTAAAAGCTTATTGCATAAGCTAATTTATAAAAACCCTGTCATATTAATCTATTCGATATTAATCTAACTTTATCTCACAAAGAAACTTATTTCATTTTTCTTCTTCTTGTTTTCTTGTCTTATCAGTACTTTTGAGAAATTGATGCAATGAACCTAACTAACACAATGTAGCTGACTTAAGAGGAACACTAACTAAATAACTATCTAAGTAACAGAAATGTTTCATCGTCGTGTGAATAACTAACCTTGGGATTTTGCTATGATCAAGTGCGCGTCATCCGCACCAAGCAGGATAGAGCGGAGGCGGGAACCGAGGGAACGAACGGCGTTGGAGAGATGAGAGAAAGTGAAGCAGCGGTCGCCGTAGTACAGCGGCGGAGACGTGGATTCGACGCGCTTTTCCAGGAGCGTGGCAATGTCTCCGTCTTCGTCGAAGTTGGGAGTGCGGCGAAACTCTCGGGAAAGGCTGGCGACGCCGGAAGCGTGAACCACTGCAATTTTGTTAGGGTTTTCGGAGGCTATTCGGAAGAATTCGTGGGAAATGCAACAAAACTGTGTCTTACTCTCCTTCGTTGCGCTCGTCGTCATCGTTCATCGCTTTCGTTCCACTTGTTGTGCCTTTTGTTTGCTTCAGGTAAAGACCCTTCCAAGTGAAACTGAAAAGCTATTATAACTTTATCACATTAGCCCAACGGTGCTACATTTTTTTTTTCTTTCTCAGAACTTAGGTTAAATTTTAATAAATTTTATAACAATTTTTTTTTTTAATCTATTACGAAGTTATAGGTGATGTCTCTGATAGTGAAGTTGGACAAGTGGTCCATGGGTGGTGCATCTAAAATCACCATAGATATAATATTAAAAACAATGAATGGTTGAGATTGTGATTTAGTGAGAGAATATATTGTACACTTTCACACAGGATAAAATTTTTGAATTTTTTACTGAAATTAATTTTTTTTTAAATTACCAAAAAAAAAACACGTATTACGATGACTGACGCAGCTGCTGTCACTTTCAGAACGGGCCGTTCTGAAACCAGAACGGCCCGTTCTAGATGAAAAAATAATACAGGAATAATGCACCAGAACGGGTCGTTCTAGAAGAAAAAAAAATACGTGATGACTACAACAGAACGGGCAGTTCCGAAATCAGAACGGCCCGTTCCAGATTTAAAAATAACATATGATTACTTAAACCAGAACGGGCCGTTCTGAATTCGGAACGGCCCGTTCTGACTACATATTTGTTTTTTTTTCATTCTACTAAATCACATATAAAATTTAAGTATAGTTTTTCAATTGAGCGAGATATGAAGCTTGAAATTATGTCTTAATTTGAATTTATTTTGAATTTCTAGTGGATCACCGTAGTTCGAAAGCATGCAGAAGTGATTGTAGATGATGATGTTATCTTTTCTGTCTTTAAGAAATATTGTAAGGTATGTAATTGATCACAAGTTAGTTTAACTACAATTCCATGTGGATTCTGATACTCTTGTATTGATTTATTAAAAGTTAGTATTATATTTATATGAGACTTGTCATAGAATCCAAA